TTTTGGTTTTTTCAAGACAGGGTTTCTGTGTGTAGCTTTGCGCCTTTCCTGGAACTCACTTGGTAGCCCAGGGTGGCCTCGAACTCACAGAGATCCGCCTGGCTCTGCCTCCCGAGTGCTGGGAATAAAGGCGTGTGCCACCACCGCCCGGCGACTTGCTTGCTTTTTAAAAAGATTTCAATTGAAAAATATTTATTTTCTAATTTTGAAAAACTTGCTTAGAAAATAGCACTTTTTTCTATGGCAGTTTCATACATACCCTTCCCCAAGCTAATTTCCTGTGCCATCTCCTTAGTCCCCAGTCCTAATGACACCTTCTTGCTCACAGTATCCTCCCTTCTACTTCCATATCATATGTTCTATTATCTTCACACCCATCTGTCTTAATGCCTCTTTTTTTTCTTTTTTAGTTTCCTGGCATCTATACTCTCAGTCACATGAATACATACAGATAAAAATTACAAGTTAAAGTTTGCATGTGTTTGTCTCTCTGAGGCTGGAATAACTCACTTAGTATAGAATTTTCCAGCTGCATCCATTTTCATACAAATTCTATCATTTTATTTTTCTTTTTTGATGAATAATATTCATATATATGTATATATTGTTGACTTTTTGGCGGGCCTGTGCAGATCTTGTCTGTTGGACCTGGGATTGGAGGACCTGAAAGAATGGGATGGACTACAGTCTAATGCTTACTTCAGTTTTATATTACTTTTATACACAAATGTAACAAAGAAAGCAATGATTCAAGGAAGGTTGTTTGAATTCATAAAAACATAATCAGAAAAAAATGTAAGCAAATGCCAATAAGCATGTACTAAATATTGACAGAGGAGCCCTTTCTCAGAACTTTCTCAGGACAGACTAATTTTTAAAAAAAAATTTTACAATTAAGAAATTTTTTATTCATTTTACATATAGATTCCCCTGCCTGCCTCCTCCCGATCACCAGCCTTCCTCCCAATACACACTGCATTCCCATTCCCTCCAAGGCAAGATCTCCCATGGGGAGTCAGCAGAGCCTGGTACATTCAACTGAGGCAGGTCCAGGCCCCTCCCATATGCACCAAGGCTGCACAAGGTGTCCAGCCACAGGCACTGGGCTCCAAAAAGCCCACTCATGCACCAGGGATGGAATCCGATCCCACTGCCCGGGGGTCCCCTAAACAGTTCAAGCTAAACAGCTGTTTCGCCTATCCATAGGGAGTCCAACACCATGGGTACTCCACAGCTATTGGTCATGTGTTTCCACTAGTTTGGCTGGCCATCTCTGTACAGTCTTCCCACCTTAGACTACTAGCAATAGTCGAGAGGGTGCCTAAACTGGTCTACTCCAGTAATCAGATTACTGAATACCCTAACTGTCATCACAGAGCCTTCATCCAGTAACTGATGGAGGCAGATGCAGAGATCCATGGCTGGGTACCAGGCCGAGCTCCAGGGGTCCAATCGATGAGAGAGAGGAAGGAATCTATGAGCAAGGGACATTGAGATCAGGACAGACTACAATTAAACACAATTGCCTGGCACATACCTGTCTGGGAAAGCATGAAAGCAAGGCAGAAGCCATATCCAGGTTCAGTGTGCACTGACCAGATTGGGTTCTGTAGCTATGATCTGACATCCAAGTCATAGCTATAAGATCTAAACATGTTTTATTAATTGAATGTAAATGTTTAACACAAGAGGCATGAAATCATGTCCAAGAACAGTCCAGTGAACAAAACGCACCTGAGGTAAAAGGCCCTGTGCTTTTTCTTTCCTGCAGCCTCTCTCACAGTTCCTCAAGACACTGTTCACCATGTGTCATTCTTTTGACTGTGTCATATATATATATATATATATATATATATATATATATATATATATATATATAATGTCCACCAAATTTTCATTATCCATCCTTTTGTTGAAGAACATCTAGGCTGGCTTCATTTTCTAGAAATTTTGACTAGAGCAGTAACAAACATTGTTGAGCAGTTATCTCTGTGTAGTGTATGGAATCCTTCATATATATATGAATATATATATGCAAGAATTACAAAGCTGGACCCTACAACACTTCCTCTTTTAGATTTCTGAGAATGCTTTATGTACATTGATTTCCATAGTTGTTACATCAGTTTGTGCTCCTGCCCATGGTGAATGAAGGCTCCATATTTCCCAACATCCAACATCTTCACCAGCATTTGCTGTCATTTGATTACTTGATGATTGCTATTCTAGATGGGGTGAGATGAGTGTCATATTAGTTTAACTTCCATTTCACTGATGACTAAGAGTGTTTAATGCTTCATTTATTGGCCTTCTGTATTTCTTCTTTTGAGAACTCTCTGTTCAGTTCTATGCCCATTTTTGGTTGATTGCTTTCATTGTCTAGTGGGTCAATCCTCTGTCGGCGGACTAGCTCACAAGATTCTCTCATTTGTAGTTGTCTCTTTGCTCAGTTAACTGTCTCATTCATTTCTTTCATGTATGTATTTTCATTAATTCATTTATTTTTGAGACAAGATTTTATTTTGGAGCCTAAGCTAGCCTAAAATTCGTGATTCTCCTTCTTCACCATCCTGAGATCTGGGATTACAGGCCTGTGCCACCGTAAGTATCTCGATTTACTACTTTTTTAAGTTGAAGTGCTGAAATGGTTCCCTCACTTAGCATATTCACCCTGGTCCTCACTGAAGCTTTATCACAAGTTCGTTCACTGGTTCTGATTTTTATTATGCATCGATACATGAAAATGTTTCATACATTAACAGAGATTCCTTAGATTTAGTAAGGGATGTTCTTTTTTTTTAGTCTCTCAAGACATTTGGATATCATATTTGGAATGCACTAACAAAACACAACTGAAAAAGTCATCAAAATTGTCTTGAAGTTAACAAAATTGTGGTAAGTTAGAAATTAACTAGTTTAAAATGAAGAGAGATGGCTCAGCAGTTAAGAGCACTGACTGATGTTCCAGAGGAACTGGGTTCAATTCCCAGGCCATCTGTTTCTGATCATGCCAGGATTAATAAAAGAAAACAACTAACTTTATAGTTATAGTTATAGATATATAACTATGTTTTAGTTACAGCTCTCACTACACCACTTTTCTCAGCTGCAACCACACACACACATTAAACAAGTACATGTATGATGAGCTAAAGACAGGATCAGAGTGAGAATGTGAGAACTGGACGAAACAGCACCAACCACAAAACTTGTATGGCCAGAGAGATCAAAGAGAGGGTTTATATTACTTCTATATAGTAAGCTCTGAGTAATGGTCCATTGCTGTCTGAATCTTGACGTATGTGTACTGAATGAGTCATTTTTCCTTCCTTCCTTCCTTCCTTCCTTCCTTCCTTCCTTCCTTCCT